CATACCCATCCTGTGGACGGTAGTCACCCCATACCCATCCTGTGGACGGTAGTCACCCCATACCCATCCTGTGGGCGGTAGTCACCCCATACCCATCCTGTGGACGGTAGTCACCCCATACCCATCCTGTGGACGGTAGTCACCCCATACCCATCCTGTGGACGGTAGTCACCCCATACCCATCCTGTGGACGGTAGTCACCCCATACCCATCCTGTGGACGGTAGTCACCCCATACCCATCCTGTGGGCGGTTGTCACCCTATACCCATCCTGTGGACGGTAGACACCCCATACCCATCCTGTGGACGGTAGTCACCCCATACCCATCCTGTGGACGGTAGCCACCCCATACCCATCCTGTGGACGGTAGTCACCCTATACCCATCCTGTGGACGGTAGTCACCCGATACCCATCCTGTGGACGGTAGTCACCCCATACCCATCCTGTGGACGGTAGTCACACCATACCCATCCTGTGGACGGTAGTCACCCCATACCCATCCTGTGGACGGTAGTCACCCCATACCCATCCTGTGGGCGGTAGTCTCCCCATACCCATCCTGTGGACGGTAGTCACCCTATACCCATCCTGTGGACGGTAGTCACCCCATACCCATCCTGTGGACGGTAGTCACCCCATACCCATCCTGTGGACGGTAGTCACCCCATACCCATCCTGTGGACGGTAGTCACACCATACCCATCCTGTGGACGGTAGTCACCCCATACCCATCCTGTGGACGGTAGTCACCCTATACCCATCCTGTGGACGGTAGTCACACCATACCCATCCTGTGGACGGTAGTCACAACATACCCATCCTGTGGACGGTAGTCACAACATACCCATCCTGTGGACGGTAGTCACAACATACCCATCCTGTGGACGGTAGTCACAACATACCCATCCTGTGGACGGTAGTCACCCCATACCCATCCTGTGGACGGTAGTCACCCTATACCCATCCTGTGGACGGTAGTCACACCATACCCATCCTGTGGACGGTAGTCACAACATACCCATCCTGTGGACGGTAGTCACAACATACCCATCCTGTGGACGGTAGTCACAACATACCCATCCTGTGGACGGTAGTCACAACATACCCATCCTGTGGACGGTAGTCACAACATACCCATCCTGTGGACGGTAGTCACAACATACCCATCCTGTGGACGGTAGTCACCCCATACCCATCCTGTGGGCGGTAGTCACCCCATACCCATCCTGTGGGCGGTAGTCACCCCATACCCATCCTGTGGACGGTAGTCACCCCATACCCATCCTGTGGACGGTAGTCACCCCATACCCATCCTGTGGACGGTAGTCACCCCATACCCATCCTGTGGGCGGTAGACACCCCATACCCATCCTGTGGACGGTAGTCACCCCATACCCATCCTGTGGACGGAAGTCACCCCATACCCATCCTGTGGACGGTAGTCACCCCATACCCATCCTGTGGACGGTAGTCACCCCATACCCATCCTGTGGGCGGTAGTCACCCTATACCCATCCTGTGGACGGTAGTCACCCCATACCCATCCTGTGGACGGAAGTCACCCCATACCCATCCTGTGGACGGTAGTCACCCCATACCCATCCTGTGGACGGTAGTCACCCCATACCCATCCTGTGGGCGGTAGTCACCCTATACCCATCCTGTTCACGGTAGACACCCATACCCATCCTGTGGACGGTAGACACCCATACCCATCCTGTGGACGGTAGTCACCCCATACCCATCCTGTGGACGGTAGCCACCCCATACCCATCCTGTGGACGGTAGTCACCCTATACCCATCCTGTGGACGGTAGTCACCCCATACCCATCCTGTGGAGGGTAGTCACCCCATACCCATCCTGTGGACGGTAGTCACACCACACCCATCCTGTGGACGGTAGTCACCCCATACCCATCCTGTGGACGGTAGTCACCCCATACCCATCCTGTGGGCGGTAGTCACCCCATACCCATCCTGTGGACGGTAGTCACCCTATACCCATCCTGTGGACGGTAGTCACCCCATACCCATCCTGTGGACGGTAGTCACCCCATACCCATCCTGTGGACGGTAGTCACCCCATACCCATCCTGTGGACGGTAGTCACCCTATACCCATCCTGTGGACGGTAGTCACACCATACCCATCCTGTGGACGGTAGTCACCCCATACCCATCCTGTGGACGGTAGTCACCCTATACCCATCCTGTGGACGGTAGTCACACCATACCCGTCCTGTGGACGGTAGTCACACCATACCCATCCTGTGAACGGTAGTCACCCCATACCCATCCTGTGGACGGTAGTCACCCTATACCCATCCTGTGGACGGTAGTCACACCATACCCATCCTGTGGACGGTAGTCACCCCATACCCATCCTGTGGACGGTAGTCACCCTATACCCATCCTGTGGACGGTAGACACACCATACCCATCCTGTGGACGGTAGTCACAACATACCCATCCTGTGGACGGTAGTCACAACATACCCATCCTGTGGACGGTAGTCACAACATACCCATCCTGTGGACGGTAGTCACAACATACCCATCCTGTGGACGGTAGTCACCCCATACCCATCCTGTGGACGGTAGTCACAACATACCCATCCTGTGGACGGTAGTCACAACATACCCATCCTGTGGACGGTAGTCACAACATACCCATCCTGTGGACGGTAGTCACAACATACCCATCCTGTGGACGGTAGTTACACCATACCCATCCTGTGGACGGTAGTCACACCATACCCATCCTGTGGACGGTAGTCACACCATACCCATCCTGTGGACGGTAGTCACACCATACCCATCCTGTGGACGGTACGGTCACACCATTTCATTTTTATCGTAAAGTCTCGTTGTACAACACTGCAATCAAATTGCAGTGTTGTACAACGAGGCTTTCTTGACGTATCTCTCTCTCAGTGAGTTAATCCCTTTGATTTGTAATTTATATTTTGGTTGTAATTTGTTGTAATGTTCCTCCAAACTTGCAATCTCTTGACCAAGTTGCGTTGTGTGTTCGTATTAACGCTACTTCATCGACTGACTTTTCCCATTAAGTTTATGTCGGATTGAAAACACGTTAATCACTAAATTCACATTAATTTAGTATAATAACACGTGAGGTAAATTCTTGTTTGATGAGGTGGACAAGATAAGATAAGATTTCGTTCGGATTTTTAACCCCGAAGGGTTAGCCACCCAGGATAACCCAAGAAAGTCAGTGCGTCATCGAGGACTGTCTAACTTATTTCCATTGGAGTCCTCAATCTTGTCCCCCAGGATGCGACCCACACCAGTCGACTAACACCCAGGTACCTATTTGCTGCTAGGTGAACAGGACAACAGGTGTAAGGAAACGTGTCGAAATGTGTCCACCCGCCGGGAATCGAACCCGGGCTCTCCGTGTGTGAAGCGGGAGCTTTAGCCACCAGGCCACCAGGATTCTTTATTATTGAAACGTTTCGCCTACACAGAAGGCTTCTTCAGTCAAATACAGAGGCAGTAGGTGTATTTGCGAAGTAAAGATGATAAAATCAGTCCATCAACCTTGGATAAATAGCATTTGAGGTGGTCAGTCCCTGACTAACTGACCACCTCAAATACTAGTAAGCCAGTTTTCTTGTGACTAAGGCTCACATCAGGAACAAAACACAAACATCCATTTCTCCCGACAAATAAAATTCGTCTCCACCAGTTAACATGGAACATCACGTGAGGGTGAGTCAAGGAGCGGACGTGACAACCTGGCTCCTGTTAGCGTGTTCCCGTGGTAGTCGTTACGACACCGGGATTAGCGTCTCTAGTGTACACACACACTACCCCTGGGGTCGTCCAAGCAGCCCTCACCACTCTCCAGCATCTCTCACAGGGCAGCTGAGATCTTAGACGTTACTTACGAAAGTTACATGGGGAAGGGGGAGTTACCACACGTGCCCAGGGCATCACCTTACTCGGGGAGACCAAGTCACAAGGTGTCTGCTAGCCACGAGCCCTCCACCACACTTCCACCTGACCACATCTGCTCCTTCCCCTCCCTCTCTCCGCCACCACACCTGACCTTAACCACTGCAGGGTTGCCATGTAGCTCACTGGTGAGAGCCTCGACTCACAGTCGCAAATCTCGGGTTCGATTCCCTGGCATGGAGTAGCATTTGGACACATTTCCTTATACCTCCTATTGTGGGTCGCATCCAGTGGAGAAATGCGTTATAAACTCCAGTACCTGCTGGAAGTGTCCAAACCTTAGGTAAAATGTATCCATATACCACAGCAGCTTTCCCTCTCTCCTCTCTCTCCTTTCTCCTACATTCCCTGGCGACACTAACCATCTTCCCACTTCCTTTCACCCTCTACCACACTCTTTACGAAACCTAACCTTCCCCTCCTCTCTCTCTCTCTCTCTCTCTCTCTCTCTCTCTCTCTCTCTCTCTCTCTCTCTCTCTCTCTCTCTCTCTCTCTCTCTCTCTCTCTCTCTCTCTCTCTCTCTCTCTCTGAATACGGCATAAACCCAGATCTTTCCTTCTCTCTCATCATTATCCTCCGCAGTTCGTCCAAGGCATGAAGCCGCCATAACATTTTTCTTTCAGCTCAGATGTATATAAAATCCTATTTATATGCAGATGACAGAGACGATTTTATGAGTGCATACACTACGTTACTAGATGTGTCGCTCTCTTAGGTCGCTCTCTTGAATAGAAGATCCGACAGCCATTGTCACTGTCTATCTCTCCTCTTCCTCCTCCTTATGATCATCCTCCCCCACCACTACCCACCACAACATCTACACCGACACACACGCACACACACACACACACAACCACAGAAGTGGGCATAGTGAGGTATCCATGCTAACACTCTCGCACTGTGTCTCGTGGTTGCGTGATCCACCAGCAGCCTCCTCCCGAGTCTAGCCTCCTGTGTTGGTTCAGAGAAGCATCCATCTACAGTGACAGTGATTTGCTAAACGTGTAATTAGTTACGGAGAAGGGGTGACATTTGCGGGAGTTGGGCGTGATCTCACTCTACCTCTGGTCTAGACGTCTAGTAAATGTTGTAACTGCTGAACTTATCGCCCTTGATAAATTTTGTTCTTTGTTGACATTCATAGTATGTTATTGACACTCATAGTATCCATAACATGCGCGTTAATTGTTTAGTTCAGTTGTAGACATGTTCATCTGACATTATCAAACTTTATATTGAACATAATAAGTAAAATGTAATTTACATAAAATCGAATTTATTTTCTAAGTTTTGTATAAGTTTATCCCGAATATAATTTCTTAATTAATGTAGCAATAGTATATACTGACTGGTAGTTAATAGTTGAGACATGATTATTTTAAAACGTAAATCCATCCATAGACAGACTAGACAGACTGTAGCAGCTTAGGCAAGAGACGACAGTCTGAATGCTGGTATGCCGTCGCTTTGGTGATATAATCTCTAGTTCCCTGTGGGCAAATCAACTAGTTCTCTTTATACATTTCAGCACAAAACTTCAAGCAGGACATGAATATTTGTCTTCACATCTCCAATTAGTGAGACAGATAAAAATGTGACCATTGTCAGATAAACAAAACATATGGACATTAGTGAATAGAGAAAACCCATTTAATCACCGAAGCTGATATTTTGGGGCCTCGTTTTATGAGTATATTATATCAGTGATACCGTCTAAAGAACTGTTTTGGAGAGTGCAGCAGGATGATGGTAGAAGTGCTGTTGACTATGTTGATGGTAGTTACTGTGACCACCGCCTGCCTTTGTACCAACTGCAAGCGTCGCCCTATCCTCGTTGAGGGACAGTATACCGTTCCTGGGAACACCTTCGAAGTCTGAATGAAGTCCTGCAGTGCACTGCGATTATAGAGATGTGTCTAAAACTTACAAACTTGGACAGAAAGACAGCAAGTTCACTTTTCATGATCATCAGTGGAAGAAACAACGCCGACGAGTAGGTTATCAGTGTCTAAACTCGTCCGAAAACTTTTTACTCCAGCCCATTAATCTAAGACATTGATGAAATATATGAAATAATCCATATCAATTTATGTAGATTTATATAACTTTTCAACCTTCCAGCCACGGAACTAGCCAGTAACCCAAAACTAAGAAAAAGTCAACTTTGCGAGTCACGTTTATCCGTGAACATATGAAAAGTCAGTGAGTGTGTAAATTCACGTATATTTGTGAACGTGTAAGTGTGAAGCCACGTCTGTGAGCGTATAACTGCGAAGTCACGTCTCTGTTAGCGAGTGCCAAGAAGACACCATGTTAGCCGAGCTCCTACTGACAGGCCTCTTCGGCATGGCCTTCTACATGATCATGGACCAGTGGCGTCTAGTGAAGGACCCAGTGGTAGTTGTAGTCAAGGATGCCAGAGAAGCACATCCCTCGAATGAGCAGGACACGCAACAGCAACACCAGCAACAACAGAAGCTGCAGCAACAGGGCGGAGAGGGAAATGAGGAAAATGAAGAGGACAAGAGAGAGAAGAAGGATGAGAAAACGCAGCCCAAAACTAGCGAGACCACAAAGAGGGACATCTTCAGGAAGCCATCTCTGTCCCAACCTCTGATATCCTATGATTCATACGAGTAAGAGACCCACGTTGAAGAAATTATACAAGAATTATGGCACAGATGAAACTCTCATAATTCACTATAGTTAATGAATGAATTTTATCACATACTCTGTGCCTCACGAGTGATTCAAGAAACAGAATCATCAAAGAATTGATAGGATAATATTTAAGGTAAAAAGGCCATATATTATTAGTACTGTATCATTATAAGTAGGAAATAAAACTATATCGTTCTATGAATTAAGTTTAGAATGTGTGCTAGACTATTAACACAGAGTTCCTGCATAAATACTTACCATACTTAGTGAGACACAGGCTGGCTGTATAATGCTCACTGTGGCATATGATTTTACTTTAAGTAAAAGTCTTCTTGACTGGTGGTGAACAGGTTACATACAGCCTTAATGATCCCTCGTGTAATCGACAGGCTTTAAATCCCATTAACCTATGATGACGTCATGTTCTCAGTACTGTAAGTCGTACTGATTTTTTTTTCAATAAATCTTGAAAACTTCAGCTTTATTTAGGAAATCTACAAATGGTTTTAGATTAATTTACTTACATAATGGCCTTGAAGGCTCGTAGATGTAGGCTTACGAGTGATAAATTACGTAGTTTTAACCTAGGATAACCCAACCATCTCAGTGTGACTTATTTCAGTTGAGTTCACTGACGGATCGAAAAAAAATTATTCCATTAGATACGAGTGAGAAAATTTACTTGATAAATAATTATTGTTGCATTAAAGGTTTCAACTGAAGGTTCTCTGGTTCCTACCAATTTCATACTCGAAGATACTTAATATACGTAAGCATCAAAGAACCGAGATACTTGAATGACACAGTTGGTACGTATCATGTTCCGTGAGTGGGCATAACTTGAAGGATTATGCTCAGTGAGTGACTGGGATGAATGCTTAAATGCTTATTGGGTGGCCCAGAGGTGTGAGAGTATGTTTAGTGTGTGTATCAGCTGGGAAGTGTTGTGGTTACCGAGTGTAGTAACTGTGGTATTGCTCCTGAGCGGTGCTAATAACCCCGTCATTGGAGATCCTCATGCAAGAACGAGCACCTACTTAGCTGACGAGTCCTGTGGCATAACGCATTGTGTCAGGTTTGGTGGAATTGTCTTAACTAATTCAAAGATATTTGTAATTCGTCTCTTGTCTGGAAGTTCCTTAAAATTATTCACGATTATGATTATCATCATCATTCATGTACCGCTCACTGCTTATTAGTTTTAGTAACTATCGTCAGCGCTCTTAGCAGGCCTCTGGTATCACGCTACAACGTATTAATAATACAAATAACTATGTAAATCTGTATAGATTAAGTTACGTAACTACACCGCAATATATTAAGGATTAATGTGACGCATAAAACGAACAGCCGCATCCTTAAGTAACCAAGTCGGAAAATGTGTTATTTGAGTCCAACCAATGAGGACGAGCTTCAGGAATACGTCCAGCCAATCGGGATGCACTTGGTGCAACTAACCAACCAATCAGGGTTAGATCTAGTAATGCTAACCAATGAAACCCAGTGACGCAGAGGCAGAATTTATTACAGTGCAACAAAAAAGTTTCTTGAGTATTTTCGATTTATTCTCTATCTACATTTTCGGAGAAAAAAAAAAAGAAAGGGGGTGTAAGTAACGTGAGGCGGAAAGCGGCATAACTTCCCACCCCCAGGGAGGCGAACTTGTCTACCCATATAATTTGAGAGAAGACATTATCGCCCCGCACCCCGAGGACGCAAGCCTAGCTTCTCACACTCCAGGGACGCAAACCCAGCTCCTCACTCCGGGGAAGCAAACCTAGTTCCTCACACTCCAGGGACGCAACCTTAGCTTCTCAAACTCCAGGGACGCAACCTTAGCTTCTCACATTCCGGAGACGCAAGCTTAGATCCTCACACTCAGTGACTCAACTTCATCTTTCCACATTCTAATGGAGATCAGACCAGTTCTTCACATCCCTGGGAAGACGACGGCAGCCTCTAAGAATTAACCACAGCTCCTTATATCCCAGAACAAGTAAGGTTAGCCCATCACTCCTGGAAGAAAGGAATGTCGCACCAAACACTACTGAGAACCAGTGACTAGCTTTAACACCAGTGGCCACTAGAACGCTGACTCCCACTATCCCTCAAGTAACTGCAGTGACAACATCAGTGAACCAACGAAACTTGAGTGTCACTTCACATCACAACTAGTGCAGTCATCGGGAGAATCAAACTCTAAGCACACTGCACTCATCCTGAAGAAAAAGAAGACATCAACGGGGGACGTTAACACCAGTGTTCCACGCTCCCAGGAAGCCGTATTAGTATTTCCTGAAGAGAAGAAATACTACTCTTTTTGCTGTCTGGGCATATATTAGTCTACGCCCACGGGGAGCTGAAGCTAGTTGCTAACGCCCCAGGGAAGGATTAATATTTCTCCACATCATCTCCGAGAAGCAAAACTAACTCTGGTGAAAATACAAATAGTTCTCTACGTGACATAACTTATTTTCCACGCCCCTGGGAGACTTAACTAGGTCTCCACGCCCCTGGGAGACTTAACTAGGTCTCCACGCCCCTGGAAGACTTAACTAGGTCTCCACGCCCCTGGGAGACTTAACTAGGTCTCCACGCCCCTGGGAGACTTAATTAGGTCTCCACGCCCCGGGGAGACATAACTAGACCTTCCCGCCCAGGGAGGGTCGAGTCTCTGCCATGATTCGTAGGCGGGACCCACAGGAGGGCGGCTACTACCTGAAGAAGCTACAGGTGGAGGAAGACCCCAGCAGCAACAATGGTGGTGAGTAACTCCTGTAGCAGGGGCGGACGGTGGGAAGGGTTGAGCTAACAAGGGTAGTTAATCTAGTCATTCCAGTGTCACAGTCACACAGTTGACATTCTTAACCAGAGTGTTATAATGTTGTTTACAAAGATGGACTGACACAAGCATTCACTCACAAATTGTGTTATGACACTTAAGTTTCCATTATACCAAATACCCAGATCAACAACAATTACGTGCAGTATTTGTTGTTAATATGGGTCAACGCCGGCCAGACTGTGCTACCCTTCTTCTCATCCTCTTCCTCCCCCATCTCCTTCTCTATCTCCTCCTCATCTCCTCCTCCTCCTTGAGGAAGGTTAAGGGCTCTTTTTCCAAGAAATTGGAGCTGACTTTCCTTTACTGGACTCAGACTTGATTACCGCCTATTTCACTCGCTATAAGGCGCCTACGGGTTTAGGGCTTCTCACTGAAAGTAACAGTAATAATAATCATAATAATCATAATGACAATAATAATAATAAGAATGCCAGTAGCTAGTCGGGGGTGACCGAATGTAGTCTGGGGTGAATGAACGTAGTCGGGAGTGACAGAAGATAGTGGGGGTGACTGAAGCTATTTGGGGTGATTAAAGCTAGTCGAGGGGGTGACTGAAACTAGTCGGGGGTGACTGAAGGAATCGTTGCTGACTTGGAATCTGTGTTTCAGAAGTGCAGGAGATGACGGAGCGACTGTTCAAGGTGATCATCATTGGGGACCCGACAGTGGGCAAGACTTCCTTCGTGCAGCGCTACGTACAGGACTCCTTCAGGAGGGACTACAAGGGCACCGTCGGCGTCGACTTCGCCCTCAAGATCCTCAAGTGGTCAGAGTCTGAGACCATTAAGTTGCAGCTCTGGGACATCGCTGGTGAGTCAAGGGGTGAGGGGGGGGGAAGAGGACTAGGGCCGAGGAAAAGGGGAATAGGAGGACATGGATCGAGGGTGAGGGGACAGTGTGAGAACTGGTATGGTGATACCAACAAAATGTGGAAGTTAGTTTAATATCTTTATTATGCACCCCATACCCATTATGTGGGCGGTAGTCACCCCATACCCATCGTGTGGGCGGTAGTCACCCCATACCCATCGTGTGGGCGGTAGTTACACCACACCCATCGTGTGGGCGGTAGTTACACCATACCCATCGTGTGGGCGGTAGTTACACCATACCCATCGTGTGGGCGGTAGTTACACCATACCCATCGTGTGGGCGGTAGTTACACCATACCCATCGTGTGGGCGGTAGTTACACCATACCCATCGTGTGGGCGGTAGTTACCCCATATCCATCGTGTGGGCGGTAGTTACACCATACCCATCGTGTGGGCGGTAGTTATACCATACCCATCGTGTGGGCGGTAGTTACACCATACCCATCGTGTGGGCGGTAGTTACACCATACCCATCGTGTGGGCGGTAGTTACACCATACCCATCGTGTGGGCGGTAGTTACACCACACCCATCGTGTGGGCGGTAGTTACACCATACACATCGTGTGGGCGGTAGTTACACCATACCCATCGTGTGGGCGGTAGTTACACCATACCCATCGTGTGGGCGGTAGTTACACCATACCCATCGTGTGGGCGGTAGTTACACCATACCCATCGTGTGGGCGGTAGTCACCACCTCCAGGTAGATCTGGTCACAATCATGGCAAGTTACAAAGGTAATGAATCATCTACACTCCTACACATGGTTACAATCATGAACAAATTACAAAATAATGAGCCACTGACGCGTACACACCCGGCCACAACTGTAATGAGTTATAAGTACAAATATTAACTGGGGCACACACACACACAACACACACACACACACACACACACACACACACACACACACACACACACACACATACACACACACGTGGTAATACTTTTACTTACAGTGAAGAAAGTCAGGGTATTTCTCCAGAATGTTCTGTAATATACCACTGTGGATAAAATACTTTGCCATTTCTTGTACACTTCTGAGTGAGTTGTCTCTGAATGCATTAATTTTATCGCACTCCAGTACATAATGACGTAAGGTGTGACAATAGTCCATCTGACAAAGTTTACATTTCGTTTGGTCTATATCTGGTGGTGGTGATTTAACCTGCCAAAGATACTTGTAACCCAGCCGGAGCCGGGCAGTAGTGACATCCAAGAGTCTGCTTATCTTGTTGGATGCACCATAGACATGTGGCTCCTCCTGCATGATTGATGATAGATGGACTGACTGGTGTTAGTCTCCCTGAGTCTTAAGTCTTTATTCAGTTTGGCCAATTTATCAGTTCTATCATGCATCTGAAGACCAATGCGAGATGGAATCCACAGCATGTGCACTCTGACTCCACTGTCCACAGTCCTAACATACCTGTGTCTGGCTTCTGACATAAGCATGCCACAATTTATACTTAATGAGTTGAGAACATTTATAGATGATAGAGAATCAGCTACAATTAAAGTGTCAACCGTAAATACATGGACGCATTTGAGTGCAAGGAGTATGGCAAAGAGTTCTGTTTGAAGGGTAGAGGCCCAGTTATTGATGCGTGCTCCAATTTCTTTATTAGAGCCATCACTCTGTATGACAGCAACACTACCAGCTGCACCAGTGGATTGGTGAACAGAACCATCAACGTAAATAACTTGTGTAAGAGTGTGTGTGACTAAGTTATCAGTACAGCTTAAGGCATCATGTTTGGCTTCAAGGCGAAGCTTTGGTTGTGATTTAAGATATATTTTGGGGGGTAATGGAGGGATGGTAGTTTGGAATGGGGTAATATCCCACGGAGCCGGGAAGTGCCGCTGTTGCCTTACTAGACATAGATCATGTAGCTGGTTCATGCGGAGGTCTGTTCCAGGTTTTTCAATCCATCTGGAGGGGTGTTCACCATTGCTGAGCAAAATTTGGAGGGTTTCTGTGCAGGGGTTTGAATGGGTTTGCCTAAGCAGATTGACCCCAATGAGGATATTTCTTTCAGTAAAACGATCTAGGATGCTTGGAATATCAAGTTCTTTCCTCATATTTAAAATTTTTGGCAGTACGAGAGTATCCTAGGATGATCCTCATTGCTTCGTTCTGCAGGTTTCCAGCCCTCCAAGCTTCCAGTCAGACACAAGAGCAAGTAGTGGCGCAGCATAATCAACCAATTATCTAATTATAAGCAAGATACATCATTTTCACAATTTTGGCATTAGCACCATACCTGGGGTGAAACCCTGCCACAACTCTAAGTGCTCTCAGCCTTTCTTTGTATTGCTGACAGTCTCGTTACAACAGGTCCAAGTAGTGGGACCTCGAAGCCTAGATACCTGCATCTGGTTACATATTCTAGAAGAAGTCCATCATGCAACTGGATCTGGCCAACTGTGCCTCTCTGTTGAGGAGGACGCCTGTTGAGCATCTTTGTTTTATCAGTAGAGTTTATCAACCCCAGGTCCTGACACGAGGCTAGTACATGATTAAGGATGTTTTGGGTGATGGAGAATCCGGTGGTGTGAATCATTATATCATCAGCAAAAACTAATCATATAATGATGGGGCTGACTAGGCACAGCATTAAGTAAAGCATTAATTAGAATATTGAATAGGGTGGGACTGAGCACATCTCTCTGTGGGGTTCCTAATTCAAAGTCTTTAGTTATACTTCTATGCTCCTGTTGGACAGGTAGCCTTTAATCCAGCGGAGAAGCCATTCTCCAACATTCATTTTGGCAAGTTCACTAATGATTACATGTCGGTTGGCTACATCAAAAACAGATTTAAGGTCAAGGAAGGTAGTGTATGAGTTGTCGGTGTGAGGGTCAGAAAGATGGTTATGCAATGATGCACGCTCCTTCAAAGCAAAAAGACAAAAATTGTTTGATCTGTGCATGAGACGATTAAGAATCAACCTCTCGAATGATTTACACAAGCAGCTAGTAAGAGGTATAGAGCGAAATGAGTTTTCTTGACTGGGCTTTGGAATGGGAATAATGGGGCTGTTGGTCCAAGATTTAGGAGCTCCCCAGTTACGCAGCTCATGTTATATAATTCAAGTAAAGGATTACCTGGTACTCGACATAGCAATCTGAGATGTGGAAGAAGAACTTATGTACAGTTCAGTACATTTTTTATAGGAAACGTATCGTCACAAGTCGCTTCTTTAGTCCTAATGCAGAGATAACTAAGAAACGAGTATATGTATATATTGGCAGAGTCGGGTGGAAAACCGTCGAGGGTACTAGTAGTATAATTGTGGTGAGATGGGTTGGGTTTGAGAAGGACCTGTCGACATCATGTTACAGCGGTTTCCAGAATGGGTAATATGCTGTTAATTAGCAATTTGGATATAGTATAACTTCCAGACTTTTGACGGATAGTGTTACTGACAGAAATTAGGGCAGCCTTTATACACTTTTCGACGTCTGAAATCACACACACACACACAAGTGTGCATGTTTGGGCTGATCAGAAGCTGGTACTATAGTGTCAGGTATTAGGACATCAGTTCTCAGAGTATCAGGAGCAGAGAGTAACCATCACCTTACCCTGGGCAGGTCAGGAGCGGTTCACCTGGATGACCAGAGTATACTACAAGGACGCCCAGGGCTGCATCATCATGTTTGACCTTACCAATCGCAATTCCTTCCTCAACACACTCAAGTGGAAAAAAGATGTTGACTCTAAGTGTACGCTCAATGACGGTAGCCCCATTCCCTGCATGTTGCTGGCCAATAAGGTGAGTGGTGTTGTGTCCCCTGCATGTTGCTGGCCAATAAGGTGAGTGGTGTTGTGTCCTCTGCATGTTGCTGGCCAATAAGGTGAGTGGTGTTGTGTCCCCTGCATGTTGCTGGCAATAAGGTGAGGTTGTGTCCCCTTGCATGTTGTGGCCAATAAGGTGAGTGCTTTGTGTCCCCTGGATGTTGCTGGCCAATAAGGATGGTTTTGTCAGCGCATGTTGCTGCCAAATAAGGTGAGTGGTGTGAGTCCCTGCATGTTGTGAATAAGGAGTGTGTTGTGTCCACTGTGTTGCTATGCCAACTAAGGATTGAGTGGTGTGGTTTCCGCTGCATCTGTATGTGGCCAAAGGTGAGTGGTGTATGTGTCGCATGATGGTGGTGTATTGGTAAAAGGTGAGTGGTGTTGTGTGCTGACATCGTTCGGCCAATAAGTGAGTGTGTTGTACCCTGAATGCTGCTGCGAATAAGGTGATTATGCATCGCTTACTGTAATGTAAAGGGATAAATTAGTGAGCTCACGTAACCTTACCAGTTTTGCTCAATAGGATCAGATCGCTTTTAGTCCTGATGTTGTGGTCAATAATTCATTTGAGCACATGTCTCACTACCATAAAGTATCTATTTCAGAAACAGACTCGAAGATAGGCTATCTACTGAAAAAGATTGAGTTTTGTGAGGCTAACATTTCCGATGATGCAAGTGCAGCCTAGTGTATGCAAAATAGGCTGATTGTGATTAATGGTGTATGTGAGTGTGGACACAGCGATCCGAAAGACATACTTGTACTCGCTGATTCCTAACTCCGAAAAAATTGATCCGCTACGCTATACCGCTTAAACAGGCGATAAAATTAGTGGAAGCTACGCAACGCCTTCCTTTCTACATGAATTCAGATTCGGTTTAGTTTTTTGGTCTTTTGCTTTTACTTTTAAGACTTTTAGAACAGATCTGGAGAGCTTCCTAATAAAATATAGAATGTCAAGGTCATGTGATGATCAAGTGCCGCCAGTGTGAAAATAGCGATTGTTTAATTTTGTGGTGTAACACGAGCGACCGACAAGGACACACTTGTCTCCTTGATTCTCTCCTCCGACTTGATGGTATGCACTGGGTGTTTCCTCTTAACATGCGACTTCAAGTTGTGGAGGCTCGCCGCCTGTCCCTTGATGGTCTCCTTGTGCTGGCACAGGAAGTACAAAATATTGGCGTTCTTCGTATCCCTTATTTGAGGACAATATTATCATCTAGGTGGGGCCACGGGTTCTGCGACATATGGCCCTCAGCCTAAGGGGGCTGTATCAGCATTAAATGTTGTTTTTTTGTTTACTGTCCGATTTCCTCCAGTTTTGGTGCACAAGACAAAGTGTTTTCACTCTTTCTTGAAAATATTTATCAAAAATGTAACTCAAACGACAACTGAGAAGAGACTGAAAAAGGACTGATTTACTGAAAATGCCCTTTGGCAGGTTTCTTGTCCTATATGGGACGACGTAAGGTTGTTTGGACACTTGGTGCCGAGAGAACAATGCTTATACGAATTTGTAATTATTACCTTTCCTCTAAATAACTTATCTTTATTTCACAAAAAAATAAAGTTTGTTAGTTCTTGGAATGTTGCAAAAAATCTGCCCTTTACTCCCACATAACTCCCAAAGTATTTGGAATATTTCCAAAAATGAATAATTGGAAATTAGAGAAATCATTATTCTACAATTTCTGTGAATATTATTACATTTAATTAAGTAATAAAGGCAGACTACGTACCGTAAAGTGAATAAGTTACTTCCGAGATATTGGCCTGGAGCGCAGGCCGGCCCACCGTCTCAAAAAAAAAAAAAAATCGCGAAAATCGCGTTTGTTTGGGTGTATTTCTTAGTAAACTGATGTTCTAGTGCAGTTAACCTCTTCAAAATACCGTTTTCTCTTACTCAGAGACCAAAGAATACGACATGAAGTAGTAACTTATTTTATTTTATATTTTATTATCACACCGGCCGATTCCACCAGGCAGGGTGGCCCGAAAAAGAAAAACTTTCACCATCATTCACTCCATCACTGTCTTGCCAGAAGGGTGCTTTACACTACAGTTTTTAAACTGCAACATTAACACCCCTCCTTCAGAGTGCAGGCACTGTACTTCCCATCTCCAGGACTCAAGTCCGGCCTGCCGGTTTCCCTGAATCCCTTCATAAATGTTACTTTGCTCACACTCCAACAGCACGTCAAGTATTAAAAACCATTTGTCTCCATTCACTCCTATCAAACACGCTCACGCATGCCTGCTGGAAGTCCAAGCCCCTCGCACACAAAACCTCTTTACCCCCTCCCTCCAACCCTTCCTAGGCCGACCCCTACCCGCCTTCCTTCCACTACAGACTGATACACTCTTGAAGTCATTCTGTTTCGCTCCATTCTCTCTACATGTCCGAACCACCTCAACAACCCTTCCTCAGCCTCTGGACAACAGTTTTGGTAATCCCGCACCTCCTCCTAACTTCCAAACTACGAATTCTCTGCATTATATTCACACCACACATTCCCCTCAGACATGACTTTCCCCACTCCCTCCAGCTTCTCCTCGCTGCAACATTCATCCCCCACGCTTCACACCCATATAAGAGCGTTGGTAAAACTATACTCTCATACTTTCCCCCTCTTTGCCTCCAAGGACAAAGTTCTTTGTCTCCACAGACTCCAAAAGTGCACCACTCACTCTTTTTCCCTCATCAATTCTATGATTCACCTCATCTTTCATAGCCCCATCCGCTGACACGTCCACTCCAAATATCTGAATACGTTCACCTCCTCCATACTCTCTCCCTCCAATCTGATATTCAATCTTTCATCACCTAATCTTTTTGTTATCCTCATACCTTACTCTTTCCTGTATTCACCTTTTTAATTTTCTTCTTTTGCACACCCTACCAAATTATCACCAATCTCTGCAACTTCTCTTCAGAATTCTCCCAAGAGCACAGTGTCATCAGCAAAGAGCAGCTGTGACAACTCCACTTTGTGTGTGATTCTTTATTTTTTAAACTCCACGCCTCTTGCCAAGACCCTCGCATTTACTTCTCTTACAACCCCATCTAAAAATATATTAAACAACCACGGTGACATCACACATCCTTGTCTAAGGCCTACTTTTACTGGGAAAAAATTTCCCTCTTTCCTACATACTCTAACTTGAGCCTCACTATCCTCGTAAAAACTCTTCACTGCTTTCAGTAACCTACCTCCTACACCATAACTTGAAACATCTCCCCACATTGCCCCCCTATCCACCCTGTCATAGCCTTTTCCAAATCTAAATGCCACAAAGACCTCTTTAGCCTTATCTAAATACTGTTCACTTATATGTTTTACTGTAAACACCTGGTCCACACACCCCCTACCTTTCCCAAAGCCTCCTTGTTCATCTGCTATCCTATTCTCCGTCTTACTTTAATTCTTTTATTTATAACTCTACCATACACTTTTTCCAGGTACATCAACAGACTTATCCCCCTATAATTTTTGCACTCTCTTTTATCCCCTTTGCCTTTATACAAGGAACTATGCATGCTCTCTGCCAATCCCTGGGTACCTTACCCTCTTCCATACATTTATTAAATTAATTGCCCAACCACTCCAAAACTATATCCCACCTGCTTTTAACATTTCTATCTTTATCCATCAACCCCGGCTGCCTTACCCCTTTCATTTTCCCTACTGCCTCACGAACTTCCCACACACTCACAACTGGCTTTCCTCACTCCTACAAGATGTTATTCCTCCTTGCCCTATACACGAAATCACAGCTTCCCTATTTCATCAAATTTAACAATTCCTCAAAATATTCCTTCCATTTTCCCCAAAATACCTCTAACTCTCCATTTAATAACTTTTCCCTCCTATTTTTAACTGACAAATCCATTTGTTCTCTAGGCTTTCTTAACTTGTTAATCTCACCCCAAAAACTTTTTCTTTTTTTTCAAAAAAATTTGTTGATAACATCTCACCCACTCTCTCATTTGCTTCTTTTTTACTTTGCTTCCCCACTCTCTTAACCTCTCTCTTTTCTCCATATACTCTTCCTTCCTTGCATCCTTCTATTTTGTAAAAAACTTCTCATATGCTAACTTTTTCTCCCTTACTACTCTCTTTACATCATCATTCCACCAATCGCCCCTCTTCCCTCCTGCACCCACTTTCCTGTAACAAAAACTTCTGCTGAACACCTAACATACATTTTTAAACCTACCCTTTCCTCTTCGACCCCATTGCCTATGCTCTCATTAGCCATCTATCCCCAATAGCTGGTTTATATCTTACCCTAACTGCCTCGTCTTTTAGTTTATAAACCTTCACCTCTCTCTTCCCTGATGCTTCTATTTCCTTGTAGCCCATCTACTTTTACTTCATGTAGCTACAATAGAAAGTGATCTGATATATCTGTGGCCCTCTATAAACATGTACATCCTAAAGTCTACTCAACAGTCTTTTATCTACCAATAATAATCCAACAAATACTGTCATTCCCTACATCTATCGGGTAACTTATTTATCCTTTTTCTTAAAATATGTATTACCTAAAAATAAACCCTTTCTATTTATATTGAAAATTCCTGGCTCTCTCGCCAATATTAGGGCTTATTTTTATTCAGCTAGAGTTATAATTGTTTGTATGTTTTTATATTTGTTTATTATATCATATTAGATCAATTCTGATAGATAATAAGCCGTAGATTTGATTTTAAGTGATATAAGCGTAATAATAAAGTAATTCTCCTGAAATCTCTGGAGGGAACAAACCGAGCGTTCCAAATGGCTCCTGGTGCTCTAAGTCTCGAAATAAGCTCCGCCTACTGTTTTATGATGCCAAATAGTCATTATTATATAGAAAAATAATGCAGAAAAGGTATAAAAAAAGGAAAAAATTTCCCAAAAAATATATGGCTGTGAGCGATCGCTACCAACATCGCCGTCACCATCCCTGATAATAAAATTACTATAATTT